AAATATGTACAGTAATTTTTTTTGTTTATTTTTTTTCCCCAAACAATGCTGGTAACACAGCTGTTGAAAAAAAAAAAATAGAGTAGACCACTAGGAAGTCACTGATTGCTATCTTCATCTTCCTCCAGCGCACTGTGGCCCCCTACCTAGGGGGTACAGTGGGTAAGGGAGGAGCCCCAGTGGTCCAATGAAACCATATCTCATTGGACCACTGTGACCAGTTCATTAATTTCATTGGTCATATTTTTTTTAACCTTTATTTATGCAGGTATTCTCATTGAGTCACAAGGAACCCCCCCCCGAGAGACATGTTTATTGGGCATCTATGTGACGGGTGTGACGAGGTGTGTTTTGGTGTCATGAAGTTTGTTAGCAAAAAAAAAAGTCCATAAATTAGCTGCAGCATTGTATAAGCCACAGGGTTCAAAGAATGTGAACAAAAGTAGTGTCTTATGGTCTGGAAATTATGGCATACTGTATTTATATTATTTTCTATATAAGTTATCTAAGGTTTACTTGCTAAGCTTTTAGTCTTTGCTCGTCTAAGCTTAGGGTGTGATAAAATAGTTGTTATCTTGACATCACTGGTCTGAATTGATCTCATCATTTCCACCAGTCTAGTTAATACAACTGGATCCTGACCACTTTTGCACATAATTATTCTCCCAAGCAAATGCACACTTGTCAACTCCCTGCACTTCAGGTACTAAGCTCGCTCTTACTTTTTTCTTCAACTCTTCATTTTTCCCAGACATATAACATTACTAAACAAGGAATTAAATCTAAATTTATATCGAAATATGTCCTTTCTTGCCTGCACTGCCTCAGTCATGCTCTGACAATCGACATTTGCAGAGGTAAAGGAGTGGAGGGCAAACTGTTTTTTGTGAGCTCAGTATGATGACAGGAGAAAAAGAGGAAAGGGTGATGAATAAATGAATAATACATCCTTGCTGTCATTCCTCTCTTCCCATTCCGCCCCACTCCCTTCCGGTGTTGTATGGAGTTGGTCCTCTGAGGCGCTTTGATCTTAGTTAGGATTGTCAGGTATGGTCGATGGTGAAGTGACAGGTTCATGCCAGCCCCTTTGTGACACATAAAGCATATCTTACTTTAAATGAGGCTGACACACTAAATAAGAATTGTTCACATGCAAACAGGTGCCTGCAGATTGTTCTAATGGAAATTGGTTATGCTACTTCAAGGAGCACCTGCCCTAAAGGGATACATGTTTAAAAAAATGTTTTTTTCTGATTTACATTTTCATCAGAAAATAATTCATTTGATAACATTTCCACTATGATTTAATGCAGTGTGATCTTCCACAGCCACACGATTACAACACAAAATAAACAGTGTTCATCTTTTCATGCAGGAATGTGTACGGTGTCAAATTTTTTAAAAATCTTGTCCCATCTGATTGGTACACACATGTGACATCATGTGTGCTGCAGTATGGCCAACTCCATTTTGACTCGCTCTTTGTTTTTGTTCCTTTTGTTTTTGTTTGGCCTTTTTTGAGCCAACAACTGTACACCCATGCTACAGGTGTGACTGTGACGCACTTGGAATTTTCTGTCTCGTTGCCTTGCCATGGTGCCATTGTGGTTCAGTTCCCGGGCCCCTTCCCGTCTTAGACTCAGGCTCCAGCCTGTCATGGTGGCCGTCGATGATCCTCCATCTGCCTGCATGGACCAAACTCTACGGAACAGTTCGGTTCCGCGGGGAAACCGTTGATGTTCTGCGGTAGTCGGACCCGGATCTGGAGGGTAGTCATTTTCCGTTGCCGCGGTCATTACTATCATAATGCTGCTAATGGGAATGCGCTGCTAGCAAGACCATGTCGCCAACATAACCACACTGCTAACAGTACCATGCTGCTAACAGGACCATGTTGCTAAAAGAACCTCACTGCTAACAGAGCATCTCTGCTAATAGGCCTATACTGCTAGCAGAACCATATTGCTGACAGGACTACCCTGCTGACAGAACCACATTGCTAACAGTAAAATGCTGCTAACGGGACCATGTTGCTAAGAGAACCTCACTGCTAATAGAACCACACTGCTAATAGAACCATGCTGCTGTAGATGTTGTATTTGTTTTTCACTTTTGGCGCATTGTTTTGTACTTTTGTTGCCTGCTTTGGTTTTTCTTTTTGTTGTTTTGTTTGTTTGTTTGATTTTTGGTTTTTGGCGAGTCGAGATGGTTCTTCTCATCCTGAGCATTTCATTACATTGTTGACCTTGTGTTGACCTGAACAATAAACATTGTTATAATAAATGCTAGTTCACAAAACATTGAAGTGAAGCGTGCTTGAAGCGTGCTTGTCATTTGCTGACACGCCTACTGGATTGACTGACAGATAGGAAAAAAAAAGAGCGCTGGCAGTCTGTGTTTATATGTTGTTTATAAAAGATCTAAAAACTTTTTTTAAAAACAGGGAGCGCTGTCTCTGCAGCCCACACATCAGACCAGCCCACCAGGAAATCTCCAGACCCTCCCACAGCCGTGCTGGACCTGAGTTTACTTCGCTCAGGACAAATTATTTCATTTCTCACCATTTCAGTCATGGCATCAACGGAGGAAGAAGAGATCACTTGCCTCTTGGCAAAATAAAAAAAACAAAAGAAAAGGCCAGGTCAGGGATGAAGAAGTGGAATTGGTGTCACATACAAAACAGTCCGTCGCTGGGCAGTTTATTGTGTGACACCACGTACATGTACACGGTCGTAAAAATTTAGCTTTGCACGGACATGCCCTGGGGGGTACGCTCATACCTCTGCGTACGTACGTACATGCGTACCTCTGCGTATGGACGTACGCGGGAGTATACTGGTGGCTTTAGTTCATTGTGGCGACCCCTGAAGAAGGGAGTAGTCAGAAGAAGATTATTATTTTTATAGTTTATTGTTTTAAATTCAAAGAATCTCAAATTGGGCATTTGCAAGTCTGGAGGGGATTTTTGATGTGTCAAGAAAAGATAAGTTAAGACACAAACATAAAAGGAAAACAAGCTCATTCTGGTTTAAAATCACAACTTTGTGTTTATCATTTGGAATTGAAAAGTGACACATATTTAAAAGTAAATAATAAAAGGACAGTTACCTTTGCTTGTACGTACCAGAATTGCCATGCGATGACGGAAAACCATCACCAGCACTTGTTCAAAATTGTCATATTTTATCTCCCTCTAAATGGCAAGATTCCCTCGCCTTAATTATAAATGTGCTCTTCTTGATGCAAATACTCCTTTCCTCCCAACTGCCTATTTCCTGACTCCCGTCTGATTTTTTTAATTAAGATCCAGACAGAGATATAGGTGATCTTAAAAGGAGTGCACTAAAGTGGGTTGGGTTTTGTCATGGTACAGACATATGGGTGTCTGGAGGGCTGGATGAGAATTGAGTGGTCATGACCCCAAAGCACTCTCACCTCTCTGGGGTATCACACATCTAGGCCAAACCCCCCTCTTACTAATTATAGTGTATTTGGAGTCTAAGCAGAGGTGGAGGTGTCCTTGATTAAAAAAAGCACTGAAATGAGAGATTAAAATGGTGTGTCTAGTATGTGCACCTGTGAATACTGAATGAAGATGGTTATTATCTGATGGTAAAGGTTCAGCGGTTTGTAGATGTAAAAATATTAATAAGAGATTTATTCTCTGCTAAATGATGCTACGAGGCATCTTAGTTTTTGTGGTGTAAATTAATCTAAACTAGAAAAATTACATTTCCTGCGAAAATGCAGTGTGATTGCTTATTGTTGAAGAACTTGCTGAAAAACAGCTACAATTACCTAAAATCATGCTGAAATAAAAGAACAAGCCTAAATTAGCAGAAGAAAGCAGAAATAACACACATTTGTTGAATTAGGTTTAAATTAGCTGTGACTAGTACAGGAATTAGGAAGTTAGCTAAAAACCTGAAATGAGCAAAAAATAGCTGAAAAGTTCCTGAAAAGGCAGAAATAATCTTTAAGTACCAGAAGGAAGTGAAAGGAGCTGAAATGAGCTAAAAAAAAATGTGGGATTAGCTGAAAAGGCTACATTTAGCACAAAACGGCTACAAAGTAGCTGAAATATCAGAAAAAGCTGAAACTAACAGAAAAAAGGCAGAAAGGAGCATAACAAGCTGAAATTAGCAGAAGAAAGCAGAAAGAACTCATTCACTGAAAGAAGCAGAAATTAGCAACAAAAAATGTGGACATTTTATGGAAAAACAAAACAGAATTTTGAAATAAATGGTTGAAAAGAAGCTAAAACGGCAGAAAGAAGCTGAAATTACAAGATGGAAGTGGAGAGAGCACATTTTCATTAAATTAGGTAGAAAAAAGTTGAAATGAGTGCAAAAAAAAAGTGAAATTAGCTGAAAAAGCTTAAATTACCATAAAACTGCAATATAGTAGCTTAAATAGTTGAAAAGCTGAAACTTGTATAAATAAGCTGAAAGGAGTGTAGCAATCTGAAATTAGCAGAAAAAAGTTAGAAGGAGCGGAAAAATGGTGTAGTTAGCAGAAAGATCTGAAAGGAGCACAAAACAGCACAAAAAATAGCTGAAAAAAGCTTAAAATAGCTGAAAAAAAGTTTCAAGTTGCAGAAGGAAGCTGAAAGAAGCTGAACCAGAACAAAATGTGAAAGGAGCAGTAAAATGTTGGAAACAGATATAAAGATCTGAAGGATGTAAAATGAGCCCAGTTCATTTTCTATTAGAAAAAAAAAAAATGACAGAAAAGGCTAAATATTTCAAAATGCTAAAGTTGTACCAATACCAAAAGTTATGGATTGTCCTGAAAGAGCTGAACATTTTGGTTTATGATTTGTTGAAATAGTTTGAAAACTGCAGGACGAGAAGTGTGCCAAAAAATGTACGGAAGAAAAAATGGATCACAATAGTGTGAATGCTTCATAAACATTCACACAAAAACACATTTTGTTTGTCAACTTTCTAAAAAATGCTATTTCTCTTTTTTTCTCTCTCGCTTTGTCTGATAAACTTTAGCTCGCTAAGTCCAGATGCAAACCCGGACATTTCCTTCCAGAGGGAGGGCTTCGGTCGACAAAGCATATCAGAAAAGCGCACCAAACAGTACGAATCTGCTGCTCACCTGGACATCATCAAGAACCGCAAGTCTAAGAGCATGGATCTAGGTAAAATTTCTGCACTCCCATTTTTAAATGAGCTGAAAATATACTAAACTCATTGTGTGTCTATTACTGTTACTTTCACAATGAATTTTACGAGCCCAGTTATGTACTACAGAATAGGAATTAAACTACTAACCTTAGCACAATACAGGCTCCAGGATCAGTGCATTCAATCAGACCAATAACACAATAGTTGCAGGTAATCATTTATTTCATTTATAAGAAGACCCATATCATCTGAAGTCCTCTACTTCAAAGCAAAGCAAAAATGTTCTTGTGTATTTCAAGCCAGCCATGTTGAAGAGCTTTCTTGTGATCCAAAGCAGTGAGAGAAAGAGAGGGGAACATATGCAAAGTCTAAAGGGTAAACTTTGCATATGTTGAAATATCTTTTGGCATCATACGTACTCATAAATACACCATTTGGAATTATAAGGCAGAACATGAGCGGTCACCTAGCTAAAAGATGGGTGAAAGTAAACAGGACAATGATTTATGTCTTCTGTTAAAATCCTACCACAGAAGTTTTGAGAAAACATCTACCATAATTTCTGGAATATAAGCCGCTACATTTTTAGCACGCTTTGAACCCCGCAGCTTATACGATGTTGGGGTAAATTTGTGTATTTATTTATTTTATTTTTATTTTTTTGACGGGCTAATGAGCTTCCTTCCATCCAACTAATGATTGTCTATCTGTCTATCCCTTGTCTCACGGGCTTCATCCAGAAGAAGACACAAGTGTTGTTCCTGCTGTGTCCGGTTCAGTTCTTCATGTTCATTCAGTGATGAAATAAGACTTTTCTTTACTGGACTCTTTTCTCTTTCTCTTGCCTAGAAAAAAGACAAAGGTGGTTAATTCAAGCTACATACTGTTTTTGAATAAACACATAAAACAAAGAAAGGTGCTGCTACAGTTTGTTGTTGCTATCAAGAGCTGCTTGGAGCCAGTTAAACTAGCTGCACCGCCCCGGATAAATGCAGCTAATTTGACGATTAAAGTGCATTTAAACAGCAGCACGGACATGAGTCTGTGTGAGCAAATGAGCACGAATGAATACAGCAACATGAAACAGATCAGGAGCAACATGAAACAGATCAGCAGCAACATGAAACAGATGAGCAGCAGCATGATGTGATTTTTCACAGTGATTATCCTGATTAGATATTCATAAGACTGCACAAACTCAAGTTTGTGTTGTTTGACGTATTGTTTTTATTTGTTTAATGCTATTAGAGCTTAGTGTATTATTAGTAGATGTTTTTAGTTGATATTTTTCTTAGTTCATATCATAGATCTTAATACTGTTTTTCTTTTACATTTTGTTGTCATCTGTAACTGGGACTTGGTGTATATACTGTCGTCCCACCCCATGTTCAACATGTGGTGCGTAGTCAGTATTTATTCAACATTTAATTTTTTTAACTTTAAAAATAAAATAAAAGCAAGTCCTTATCGGCACGAATAAAGTAATGTGGAACATGTTGCATCTGTTCTTACCAAGCACAGAAGGCTGCAGCGTTGTGCTGCTCTGTGAGGTGCAGGTGGGCTGCGAGCCTGCAAAGGACATGTCAGGTGTAGACTCCGCTGATGGAGCAGGGGCAGAAGCGGGGAGGCTTGGAGGGTTTAATGTGGAGTTTAGAGACTGACCATCACGTGCTGAAATACATTCTGGATAAAATACAGTGAGAAACAGGAACAGAGGGTAGTTAGCATTAATGCAAATTAGCTTAGCATCATAACACCGATGTTGACCTAGTATGGCGTCAGCCTCTTTTGTTAGTTAAAAATATGTCCAGAACCGATGGGGTGAGTAACTTAAAATATGTTTAAAGTTAGAAAACACTCACCATCTTCTATAATTGATTCAAATAGAGCAGTGGACGTGTCCAAACCACCCTCCAGTCGCTCCATCTAGCTTGCTTTGACTTTTTTTGTCGGCCACCAAGCACAACAACGCCTGCACTTCTGCATTTGACCACGGCTTTGATATTATTGTTTTTTTTATATCTTCAAAATATGTACAACATACTCTGCTCGAGTTATCACTAATGACGGGCTGTAGAGCAAAATGGAGGATCGGAGGACTCCACAGACTCCTCCCCCCAACCAATCAGTGACCAACAGTGTTTCTGATGTCACGGCTCAGGTTTCTTGGACCCCTTAAGAAGCAGGGCCAAAATACGGGGGCTGAGCTGGTACAAAATACTAATGGAAAAGACTTCAAACACGGGCTGAGCTGGGAATATTTGACCTGCGCCATGACAGTGGAAAAGGGGTAATATACACCTCCAGATGCAGGAAGAGGACCACCTGCTTCATGAAGGACCCCACTCACCCAGCACACACCTTTTTGCCCCATTTCCCTTGGCCAGAAGGTTGAGGAGTATTAAGTGTAGAACCACTAGACTGAGGAACAGCTTATACCCTGAAGCTGTTAGACTCATAAATCCCTAAACAGAATAATCACTGTAATGCCACTTTAATTGGTGATATGTTGCTTATCTGTGGACATGGCAGATGTGCAGCTTATATTTAGGTGGATGAAAGACGAAACGTTTCTGCATTTTTTTTTTCAACCCTTCCAGAGGACCTGACTTAACTTTTTAGATTTTTCTACCTGGATTATTGAGCATGCATCAGGATACAATGGCAAAATATTATTCACAGTCATGTATGCCTTAAAACGATGTATTTCAAGTTGCTTTTAGTCTTTTTCTCTTTTAAAGCACACATACGTCTTCTCATGTGGGTTCTGAACCAGCCCGTGACTTCTTACAGATTACTGCATAATCTTATTCATCCAGCCATCCATACATTATCTTTACCCGCTTATTCCATTTTTGGGTCACGGGGGTCACCGGTGCCCATGTCCAGCAATCACTGTGCGAGGGGTGGGGTACACCCTGGACAGGTCGCAAGTCCATCACAGGGATACATAGAGACAAACGAGACAAACGAGACAAACAACCATTCACTCTCTCACTCACGCCTAGGGACAATTTAGAGTCACCAATCAGCCTAACATGCATGTTTTTGGTCTGTGGGAGGAAACCGGAGTACCTGGGAAAACCCACGCATGCACGGAGAGAACATGCAAACTCCACCCAGAAGGCCCCTGGACCGTGATTTGAACCAAGGACCTGCTTGCTGAGAGGCAGCAGCTCTACCAGTTGTGCCACCTTGCTGCCCTAATCTTATTCATTCTTTGTGAATTTACATGGAGCTGCATGGGGATATGTTAATGGCACAGTGTGTGGTAGGTTTCAGTTTGTTGGGCATGAACATTGTTTCCATTATGTCCATTGTGTTGAAAATATAATTGTTACTGAGAACAGGAAGGGAGTAGAATTGACAGGATGCTGAGATAACGTTATGATGGTGCTCTCATTAGAGCAAAAGCAGTTTTTTTTAATCAGCAAGTTTCAACAAAAAGCTTCTTAATTGTAGGAAAGTGGAATCAGCAATTTCCTTTGTGAATTTGAACACTTCTAGACAATAGTGTTTATTTCTGCTAAAAAAAAACTGCTTCATCTGTTCAAAAAGTGGTGCAAGTCTCATGAAGTAACTGCAATTATTGATCTTAGTTGGCGTGTTATTTCTGAAGAATCAAGATCCATGTGTGTGTGGGTGTATAATCCTACATAATTCAAAGATGCACTATTTCCACTCCCTGTGTTACTTTGTTAGATGCTAGTCTGTCTTAGATTCACTTGTAACATTAGAAAAAAAGAAGTGTCATAGTTGCAAGATACCCCTCTATCTATATGTGGGCTAAGATGGGGTAGAGGCAGTGTAGCTGGCTGGAGGCCAGAAAATCCTGACTCCCAGTCATTCCCACATACTGTGGTGTCTCTGAACAAGACACCCAATCCCCAATTGCTCCACAAGCACCTATATAGCTGCCCACTACTACACCTGGATGCATCTCACGTGTAATGAATTAAATGCAGAGAACTAATTTAGCCATTGTATAGGAACATACAATGATTACAATCTCAGACTTAACTTTCCTTTTCCCTCCTTGTCTTCATTATCTGAAGAGGGATGATTTTTTTTAACGATTCCTGGTTGTATCGTACTACAAAATTAAATGTTTGTGGTGTGATACAGCCTGGTTCTGAAGCATGTATGTGAAGAACAATACCAAACTTGTACTAAAAAGAGGAAGAAAAAATATCAAAGGGGCTATTTATTGACAGTTTCTCAAAAAAAAAAAAAAAAAAAAAGGTCCAAGTTGGTAGCCTATCTTTTTTGGTAAAAAGAACCAAAAATATCTATATTAATTTCAATAAAGTTCAAAACAAAAACAACTGGACTTTCTTTGTAACAGAAGACATTTTGCTTCTCATCCCAGAAGCATTCTCAATTCAAAGAACAGGGAGTGTGGGATTCAAGTTATAAACCTGAGGTAAGATACATACATACATATGCAGATTGACCTATCACACCTCACAATAGGAGTTTGTTAAAGTCTTTGATAATCTAATTCACAGATGGGCCGCTCTGGTCACATGGAAGACCATTCCTGATAGGTATGAAACTGGCTGGGTATCAGGCTATATTTACACGGACACAGTCGGGGGTGGGGGGAACATAGTTTTTTCGAAAGTTAATTAGAGGAAAAGATCTGCGTAGACACGAACAGATTTTGTGTTTACATGCATACGGAGGAATCCCCCCCCCCCCGCCCTCATGAATCTGTTGTAGTTACCATGCTGAGTCATTAGTTGGCACTATGAATTTTGTACATTCACCTAATGCGTATGCGTGCTCTCAGCCCGCTCCCTGTAAGGACTTTCCTTTGGGCTAAAATAAAAGCTCATCTAACAACATCTTAACAACAAGTTAAAGCTGGATTTTGACTGGATTTTGGATAAGAGTCAACAGATTTGACGCCAAGCGGGACCACTTCGTCTAACAGCTCCACACCGGTCGCTGAGTGGACCAGAACCGAGTCGACGATGTCAGACTTTTACTCCGTGATAATCAGTAGCCGATTTGCAGCAGGTAAATCAACGTTCTAAATAACGTTTGCTTGTGTTTTACTTCAATCACACAACAACCAACTGAGTTGTTATTTTTATTTTTCCTGAAAGAAGAAGAAAAAGCTGTCTTCCCACCAGGCGGACCGGTTCTGAACGAGGCTTGGCCCAGATGAAGTGAATCTTATTTCTAGGTTCTAAAAAGAACCAGATTAGTAAGAATAGTCATTCTACAACGGAGGTGGGTGACATTGAATGCAAGTTTCCCCGTGGACGACGATCCAACCCCGACTGCTAGGTTGAGCAAGTCACGGGGTGAGATAAGGGTGTGACTTGCAGATGAAGGTCGTTAACAAATCTGGGTGAGTCACCTTCAACACAGCCTTAAGCGAAACTAACCTAAGGTCAATCTAGGTAATACTCAAGTGCTAGATTTAGTTCCGAATACCTCTTAGAGGAGAGGCTGCAGTGGGGTTTAGCCATAACTCAGGTGGTAACTCCACTGGGTAGATTGAGATACCTGTCTGAAAATTGTTGGATTGTATACCTAGGTTATTGAGCATGGACTTTGTTGGTTTTGAACCAGTTTGACATGACTGTCGACAAGGAAGAGGGCCGGCACCGGAGGAGGGGGCGTGCCAAAGAGACCATCTTAGCACGAACAGAATTGGTTTGTTCCACTTTGGAGTAAGCTTTTGGTGGAAGAATCAGTTTTTTGTTGTGTTTTTCCTTGACTGATGAAGCCTTCTGGATGGAAGGTGAAACATTTCAGTACAAAAAAAAGAAACTGTCGATATGACCTGCCTGAAAATTGTTGGAAGCTCTTGGAGCTGAACGACTGAACGAATCTGAACGACTTCTATTCATGCTTTGAAGTCATGGACTCACATTCCTCCATCCTCCACACCAACCCCAGCCCAACTGGTTTAACCACTTGGGACTGCCCCCGACAACCCCCTGCTATCTCTGTACAAGAGGATGAAGTAAGGAGGCTTTTTAAAAGACTGAATACACATAAGGCTGCAGGCCCAGACCTTGTGTCACCCTCCACGCTGAGACATTGTGCTGGAGAGTGTTGTGGATAGAATACCACGTCGTGTTCAAAACGGCGGAGGCGTCGCCCTTCGTATAAAAGATTTATTTGACACAACATGGGTTACAGATATTCAGAGACAAACAGTTACATTAATAAGATATATGCATATAAATGGAGCATTAAGAACAAACCGCCTCGTGTGTGCCTCCCGGAAAATGCTCAGTGCGCGTGCGTCATTCCCGGCCTTTTATCCCCGTTTGAGAAGGCTAGCTTCCTGATTGGTTCAGCTTCTGTCGCTATGGTTACGACTTAGCCCGCCCCCTCAAGGACGTTACGTCTATATTTCAGATAAGTTTTGGTTCACTGAAATCGGCTTTTGTTTAAAGTTTAACTTGCTATTATACTTTAGGGATATAAAATGATTAGTGTCTAAATTGTTTATGCGTAATAATTAATAACTATTAATTATTACCTACCTCCTGGGTGTTAATTCAATATCTGTTGGAGGTCTGGTGATTCTGTTTTTAAGGCAGATTCATCTTAGTTTCTGTGTCTGCGTTTAAAACTGTTAACACTGTTTGTTTAACGTGATTATACCTTAGTGATAACACTGATTTGAAATAGTTGTTTATTTCTAGGAATAATTATATTATCTAACTTATGTTCGTGTTTTTATTTGGATCATGGTTATACTCTTAATTTGATTTTACTTAGTCAACCTATAGTCTAAATTAAAGAGCTGTTCTAGCTTTATTTATGTTAATCAGTCTGCTCTCTGGCCTGATTTGATTGCTTGTAATTTATCAAATGTGAACTTGTAAAATTATCTTTAGCTACTATGAGATTATATTTAAAGGTCAACTAGTTAGAATTAGCAAACATTTTCTATAAACATAGTTCAACCTTGGAAGAAAGACACACACACACTTTATATGACCCGACATTTGAGTGCCCGATAGGAACCACAAAAAGGTATAAAACATTAAATCCAACAAGAGTTGCTTCAGTCTTCACAGAGATCTTCAACTCTTCTCTGGAGTCATGCCACGTCCCAGCCTGTTTCAAGTCCTCCATCATCGTCCATGTCCCCAAGAAGCCACGTGTCACAGGACCAAATGACTACAGACCTGTAGCTCTCACGTCTGTAGTCATGAAAACCTTTGAACGCTTGGTTTCATCTCACCTCAAGTCCATCACCAACCCCCTCCTGGACCCCCTGCAGTTTGCCTACAGGACCAACAGGTCTGTAGATGACGCAATAAACCTGGCTCTTCACTTCATTCTGCAGCACCTGGACTCCCCAGGAACCTACGCCAGGATCCTGTTCATGGACTTCAGCTCTGCATTTAACACCATCCTCCCTGCTCTGCTCCAAGACAAGCTCTCCCTGCTCCATGTACCTGACTGCACCTGCAGGTGGATCACAGACTTCCTGACAGACCGGAGTCAGTGCGTGCGGCTGGGGAGAGCTGTCTTGGACACTTGGACTGTAAGCACATGATCTCCACAGGGCTGTGTGCTTTCCCCCCTGCTTTTCTCCCTGTACACCAACTGCTGCACCTCCAGCCATGACTCTGTGAAACTTATTAAGTTTGCAGATGACACCACCCTCATCGGGCTCATCTCGGACGGTGATGAGTCTGCATACAGGAGGGAGGTGGACCGGCTGGTGACCTGGTGCAGCAGTAACAACCTGGAACTCAATGCCCAGAAGACAGTGGAGATGATTGTGGATTTCAGGAAAGCCACAGCCCCTCTGCCCCCCCTCACCTGTAATGATACCCCCATCACCACTGCAAACTCTTATCGGTTCCTCTGCACCACCATCACCCAGGACCTCAAGTGGGAGCCGACCATCAGCTCCCTCATCAAGAAGGCCCAGCAGAGACTACTTCCTGTGACAGCTGAATAAGGCCAAGCTTCCGGCCAAGCTGATGGTACAGTTCTACACGACCATCATCGAGTCCATCCTCAGCTCCTCCATCACGGTGTGGTATGCCGGGGCCACTGCCAGGGACAGACTCAGACTGCAGCGCGTTGTGCGCTCAGCTGAGAAGGTGATCAGCTGCAGCCTTCCATCCCTCAACGACCTGTACGTCTCCAGGACTGTGAGGCAAGCAGGTCAGATCACAGCTGACCCTGCTCACCCTGCACACGGACTGTTTGAACTTCTCCCCTCAGGCAGGAGGCTACAGTCCATTCGGACCAGAACCTCTCGCCATAAGAACAGTTTCTTCCCCTCTGCTGTTGTACTCCTGAACACTCCTAATGCTACCTCATAATTTCTGCTTTGGTCACATTACATCTGTATTATAATTGAATAGTCCATCTGTACTGTTTTCTAAGCATTTTTATTGTTTTGTATTGTATGGGTGTACATATGGTTATGTTATGTTTTTAATTTTACTTTATTTGTGGGTGTACACAGGTCTTATGTCTTATGTAATGTTCTCATTTTTACTTCATTTTTACTTTATTTTTACTTTATTTTACTTTATTACTATTTGCACCTTATGTCGAAGCAAATTCCTAGTTTGTGAACCTCGTTCATTGACATGGCAATAATAAACTGATTCTGATTCTGATTCTGATTCTGGAGGCTTTTTATGTGGTGGCCATTGATTTTAATCACATAAACCTGATAGACACACTTCTAACTCTTCCTTGGACTTCGGAAGGAACAAAAACATCTACACCCCCCTGAACATAAGAGGATCTGCGATGGAGGTGGTCGCAAGCTACAAGTGCTTGGGTGTACACATGAGTGACAACCTCAGCTGGAGCAACAACACCACCAGCCTGATCGGGAAGGCTCGTCGGAGACTACTTCCTCGGACGGCTGGGGCGGGCTGGGCTGGTCTGGGAAGCTCAGTCCTCACCTCCTTCTACAGATGTGCAGTGGAGAGCATCCTGTGCTCCAGCATCAACGTGTGGCATGGAGGTTGCACAGCTGCAGTGGGAAAAGCTTTGTGGAGGGTGGTGGAGGCTGCGCAGAAGTCTGTTGGAGTCAGCCTCCCCACCATCACAGACATCTACACCTCCAGATGCAGGAAGAGGGCCACCTGCATCATGAGGGACCCCACTGACCCAGCACACACACTTTTTGCCCCACTCCCCTCAGAAGGGGGGTTGAGGAGCATTAAGTGTAGAGCCACTAGACTGAGGAGCAGCTTCTACCCTGGGGCTGTTGGACTCATGAATCTCTAACTAGAATAATCACTGTGAAAAACCACATCATGTTGCTACTGATCTGTTTAAATGTTGATGTGTTCATGCGTGCACATCCGCTCACACAGACTCATGTTCATGTTTGTGCTGATGTTCAAAGTTTTTATGTTATGAGTGCTTAGTGTATATTTAGTTGATGTTTTTCTTAGTTCATATCTTAGATGTTATTACTGTTTATCTTATACATTTTATTGTTGGATGTAACTGGGACCCTGTGCACATAATTTCGCTCTACCACATGTACCACATGAGGTGCGAATGACAATAAAGAATCTCTGACTCTGAGTAAGATTTTATCAGCATGTCACATACCAACACAAGGAAAGAGCACACTAGACAGTGTTTATACCAACATACGAGATGCATATAGGGCCGTACCATCCCCCCCACCTTGGCCTCTCTGATCACATCTCCATCTTTCTTGCCCCTATCTACCTCCCCCCGCTGAGAAGTTCCAGACCCACATGGAAGACCATCATTGTGTTGTCCAGTGACAGTGACTCTGTACTGCAGGACTGCTTTGCACACACAGACTGGCAGGTATT